AATCATCAGGGGGCATCCCCAATGAACGGGGGTTTCCCGCGTAACTCAAGTGAAGCTGCCCTGAATTCCGGACCCTTCAATAGGTTTCTGACTAATTTCAATATGGTTCCCCATGACGCCCTTCCTGTGCTGAACTGTACCCCCCTCAACTTTTCTTTTGAGGCCACATCTGGGCTTTTGAGCTAGTTCTGTCGTATCATCAGGGGGTCTCCACCTGGACGCCTTGCTCGGAAACCAACAAAAGCATCTGCAACCCATCATGGTTGTTGTTGGGAAACATTTTACATTGTTGCTTATTGTGGTTTAGTGGTGGAAATCCCCACTTTACTGCTAACATCATTTGTGTTTGCTCCCCTTCCAACGTCAACCAAGCCATGTTTGGACTCTTCCTTTGAGAGCCCGCCAAAAATCGAGCGACTGAGGGCTGAAGCTGGGCGCGGCTTCGGGCCGGAGCACGGCCTCGCCTTTCTCCTGGGCGACCACGGGGTGGCTCTCCGTGAGTCGACTCGGCTTCGAAGTCGTGGGTCTCAGGGCGAAGAATGCCTTTGGAGTCCGAAAATTTGGGGCTGATTGGGATCACGGAACGACCTTTTCCTCAATTCACGGAGTTCCTCTGCCCCAAACCTATCAGGCTGGCTCGTCTTGCCACTGTGCAGATGGAAAGGGGTGAATGCTGCTCCGACCTTACAGAAGAGGGCTAGCCAGCGGCCCAAGTCAGATTCTATGGCAACGTGCAGGGACTGTCCAATGCGGAGCCTTGGCAATGAACCCTACCTCCACCCAATTTGCATAACACTGCACAGGGCCTGAGTTTTGTTCAGTGTTGCACGCTTTCTCCCTTTCTCGTTCAATCACGGTCCAGGACCTTGGCTGCCAACCACACAGAAGGGACAAACAAACCACCCTCCCCGAAAAAATAGCCACCAGGTACCCCACAAGCCCTGGAAAACCCGATCCAAAGATGTCAACACGGGTCTTCAAGAAAGTTTTGTTTTTTTAAAGCTCTAGCTAGGGGCAGCTTTGAATTTCCTATGAGGGATACTCGACCTTGATTGTTGTCCCATTTGCTCGCCCAGAGTTCCTGGACATGCTGGATTGTTTGGGAAGATCAAGTTATGAAGAACTGGTGTTGTCATGTTTTTGGCCACTCTCAGGAAGTTTCCCCCTCCCACCAATAAACATGGAACCTGACATGGAGAGTCCCTTTAAAAGGAAAATGGTCCAATGCAGGACGCCCCTTGTCAGGTTCCATGTTATTTGGTGGGAGGGTAGTGGGAGTAAGGGAGTTCAATGTATTGGTGACCTCCGAACACGTGGCAACGTCAAATGGCCTCGGAAAACCGCTCGCTGGTTGCAAGTCACCGCGTGGAAGAGAGGGAAACAAATCTGTGGGCGAATAAGCTGGGTAAAACGAGCAAACACACCCAAAACGAGAGAGAGAGAGAGACAGAAAGAGGGAGAGGGAGAGAGAGAGAGAGAGAGAGAGAGAGAGAAAGAGAGAGAAAGAGAGAGAGAGAGAGACACAGAGAGAGAGAGAGAGAGATAGAGAGCGAGCGAGCGAGAGAGGGAGAGGAAGAAGGAGAGGGGGAGAGAGATGTCCTTTACTTGGGGGATCCTGGTTTTCAGCAAGGATATCAGGTAACCTTTAGTTGGAGGCTTCGATTGGTTTGGATTTGGGTTTGGATCCCTGATTCCTGCACAGGGCCCTTTTTGGGAAGGCCATTTTAGTGCTAAACTAAAAGTCTCGACACTTTTTTAGTCAAGTCATTCAGGAAGTGAGAAGGCACCAACACAAGCCTGCCAAATAGAAGGAAGCGGATTCTCGTCAAGAACCATGACCGCCTCGCTCAGGAGCAGCTGACCGGCAGCGATCCGCCCCCCCATGGGAGCCTCGGAAAGGTTCTGATGGCTCGGCGTTTGGTTATGGTCCTGATGCCTTTGTTAGACCAAGAGTTGCAAGGGTCCCTCAATTTCCACACTTTTGTCTGGACCAAAAGTAGTTGCAATCTCTCAATTTCCACACTTGTTTCTGGACCAAAAGTAGTTGCAATCTCTCAATTTCCACTACTTTTTCTGGACCAAAAGTAGTTGCAATCTCTCAATTTCCCGAACTTTTTCTGGACCAAAAGTAGTTGCAATCTCTCAATTTCCCCTACTTTTTCTGGACCAACAGTAGTTGCAATCTCTCAATTTCCCTCACTTTTTCTGGACCAACAGTAGGTTCAATCCCTCAATTTCCCAACTTTTTCTGGACCAAAAGTAGTTGCAATCCCTCAATTGTTCACTTTTTCTGGACCAGAAGTAATTGCAATCCCTCAATTTTCTGGACCAACAGTAGTTGCAATCCCTCAATTTCTCCACTTTTTCTGGACCAATAGTAGTTGCAATCCCTCAATTTCCCCACTAGCTTCAGACTTGATGAGCACCCCTGGGAAGACTGCTTCAAAGGGTGTCCACAAAGTTTGAATTGTTGCACCCCCGCCAAAGAACGTGAAGGAGACAGGAAGATAACACGGGACGTGTTTTTTGTTTGTTTTTTTGCCAGGAATTTAGTATCCAGCGACGTGACCCGCACGATGCTGGCGCTGGAAGCCCGTGCTTTTGCAAGCCAGGCACGGGATCAACGACGAGTATGACGGTAGATTGCTTCCTTTGCATGGTTGGCCTTTTTCACTGTGGGGCAAATAGGCAGCCCCCCTGGTAGTGTAGAAACCCTTGTCGAGGGAGGCTGTTCATTTCAGTGGAAAAGGCGAACCCTGTTCCTTTCTTCTTGGTGCGATAGGTAGGGAATGATCTTTCGTAATGAACTGGAAGACACCAGAGGGCATGGAATTTATAGGTTCCCTGCTGAGAACCCGCAGGTATTTTGTTTGCCGGGGTTCGTGTCCCTTGAAAATCCACTTACCAAACGGGCCACTGGGCATGCGAAGAAAGACCTACCACTCGCCCAGCACTTCCGGGTTCGTTGGAGCTCCGTTCAAGTCAGACCCCCTAGCCAAAAATGGGTGGTGTCCTTTACTTTCCATTCAAAAACAACCCACTACCATTGAATATATTGTCAAATGAGTAATATTTATTTGTAAATGAATGCTCAAATAATAATGACTGTTGCTCGTTTATTAGATATATGATGGAGTATTGCATTTGTCCTTGTAATATTAATACCTACTTCATCATTGCTTCTCAGGGTTGCCCTGTGATACAAGGGAATCTCCGCCTTTCTGTGTGGGGTTGGTCTTCGGGAAGCCCTTGTTGTATCACAGCAGGTTCCATTTTCAACCACATCCCTCTTACTTCATGTTTCATTCAAATCGGCTGAGGTTTCCCAGCCCCAAAAAATATGTAATTTCCCGCTCCCTCCATACAAATGTGTGGTTTTCTTTGGTTTCCCTTAAACAATGCCCCAACTCACTCTCTGAGTTCCTGAACTTCAAACTTTTAATACTCTTTTGCTAAACAAACCAGTTCTCCTGGACGCTGTTTGTTCGCCAGTCTCACCCAAACGGACCTTTTGGCCAGTCAAGGGAAGCCAGGCCCCGGGTGGCACCCGAGCGCCCCGGCGCGCCTCGCCGCGAGGTGCGGCGTCCTGCGCGGCGCTTGGTGCGGCCGGCGGACGTCTACGCCACGGTGGCGCAGCTCTGCAGTCTGCGGCTGCAAGGCGCGGGACGAAAGCGGAAGCGGAAGCCACGCAAAAAGCCGGTTGGAAGGACGGATGGGGAAACGGTAGGTTTCGCGTTTTGGTTTTGGGTGCGGCTAGCTTCTGTTCATTTTGGGTCTTGGATCAAGCGTTGTTGCTTTTTCTTTTTTGTTGTTGCTAAAGCTTTAGTAAGGGGCTGCAAAAGAAGCAACTGAGTTGTTTGCCGCCAAGGGTTGTGAAGGACATGGGGAACGTCGGAGTCCGAATTGTTTTATGACTTGAAAAGCTTCCGAACAGGATGTCCTTCCTTACAGCGTCCGAGGGTTTGACTTGGCCTTAGCTGATTGATGAAGTTGAGTGTGTTTTGACAGATGCCCCCAAGCTTTCCCATGACAAATGAAAGTCAGCGGAAAGCTATCGGGTTGGGTTCCGCAGGTTTCCGGGTTGCGTTCCGGCTCTCTTCCGGTGCTGGGGATTCACGTCTCCATTTTCCGGAACTTGGACGCTTCTCGATTTGCTGTGAGGGGGGAAGTGGAGATGGGAACGATCCTGACTGGTTGGAACAAGTGCCCTTTTCCGACAGTGTTGGGAGTGCTGGGACACTCCACCCCGGTTCCGTGCACCCACTGCGTCTCCCCTTGACATTTTGATTTCCCTTGTTTGGATCCGTTTGGTCCATTTTGATCATGGGCCCAAAAACAGGGTCAATCTGTTACTTTCTCTGGGCAACTGAGGAAAAGGGGGCTTCCGTTTCCCTTCCACCCCGCCGGTATCTTTCCGGAGCCCCCGAGAAGCCCCTTGATTGAGCCTTGAGAAACACAGGGACAGGCTGAGATGAGTACCCTGCCACCAATTAACATGGTTCTGGAAGACCATTTTCCTTTCAACAGGACCCCCTGTCAGGTTCCACGTTGATTGGTGGGAGGGCAACGCCACCTGAGACCCGACTTAGTTTGGCCTTTGCAAGCCCATTTGCCACGTTTGAGACCATTCGTGCGTGAGTGCCCGCCCAAGTCCCCTTGGCAAAACCACCTCCAAACACATCATGCTTGGGTGTTTGCGAAAAACAGAGAGTGCATGGTGGCTGAAAATACCCAGAGAGTTTGAAGGGAAACCAACGGTTTTGGGTTTGAGTCCTGTTTGAGGCAGCCTTTCTGGGTGCTAGATAGGTTGTGTACGTTAAATGTTTGCACAAGGCAACATATATATATATATATGTATGTATGTATATATATATATGTCACTTACAAATATATATATATATATATATATGAATAGAACAAATCCCACTATTTGACACCCGGCTTTTAAGATTGCGAGGCTTAGCTTACCTGTTTGTTGACGCGCACCTGTTGGTTTTCTTTCATGTTGCCTAACCAGCAACTCGGGGTACCCATTTGTTATTCAGCCTGGTTTGAGGCTTTGATCCGTTTGAAGCCACGGGAAGGTCCCCCCCAACGCCAGAACCACCGAGCCATTAGGGACAGGGGTTGACTGAGGCAGTGGATCCGCTTGGCCAAGTTTTGCCAGGCGACCTCTTCGTGGGGAAGAGCCTCCTGGGGGAGGAAGGCCACGAAGCGATCAACTCCTTCTCCTTCTACCGGCCAGGACCTGCGGCTTGTACACCTTTTAGTGGCATGCAGTGGCTATGTCGTTGTGCTTCCAATGAAATCGCTGCGTGGTTCGGTCAGAGTGGAAACCTTCTAGCCACGGTCATTTTGACATGTCCGTTTTGTTGTCTCGCCTGGCCACTGCAGGACTGAACAGTTTTCAGCCAAAAGTGAAATGGATCTCCAAAACGGGCTAGGCCCCCTCCTCACAGTGCATGCGGCGACCTGGAGAAGTGCCAGGGAGCTCTTTTCATACATGGCACTCTTCTTAAGCCCTTCATTTTGATCGAGGGCGTCCAGACCAACCGCACCTTTTGGGGGGTATCCGCCAACCAGTTAACCTTTCGGCTGGGCAACGGACTCCTTTTTCACGGGACCCGTTTCAACTCGTGCTTCGGTGTTGTAAAGGGAAGCCCAAGGGGGACCGCTCATGTTGAGCTTTTAGTCTACCTCTGCAGTCTCCATAGCCTACTCTTCATTTTGCGGTAAAACATATGTTGAGCCCGAATTTCAACCATCCGTTTTTCAGCAGCCGCCATTTCTGTGGGCGTGAGTTGAAACCTGACGCCCCGGCCGCTGGGATCGAAGTCGATACCGCAGGAGACCTCGCGGCGGTGCACTTCCAGTCGGCGGATCTCATCTGCAGCGCCGAGTTCCGGAGGCCGAGTTCCGGGTGGGCGCTGCACCAGGCGGGGCGGCGGGCTGGAAAGATGGGGGGAGGTGGGAGGTGAGGGGGGTGGGGTGGGGTGGCAGGGGGAGGGGAGGTGGGGGGGCGGGGGGGGGGTGGGGTGGAAGGGGGGGGAGGGGGGTAGCGGCGGGGCTTGAGAGTGATGTGTTGCATTTGGGGCATTGACTTCATGGCCGAAATGGGCTTTGCACGCTGTGTGGCAGGATTGAATTCGTTGCATGTCGTGGCAGCGTCCGTCAGGACTATGCTGAGAGAAAACAAGGTGCAATATGGCACAGAACTACAGGGTCCTTTTTAGGTTGCTTTGGTTAAAAGTAGCTGGGTTCCACCGAACATTTTTTTCTACCAGGGCCATGTCGTTTCCCAAAGGCCTATAAACAGACGCAGAAAATACGGCCATGGAGATTCAGGCCGCCCATATTTCATAAATCGGTATCTTTGGGCCGATTTTTCATGACCGAAGCTAAGGTCTCCGGGTGGGTGGGTTGCGTCAGGTCCACAGTTCGATGGGGTGAATGGACTCCCAAAGCAGGATGGAAACGAGAAACCTGGTCGAACCACCTGGGTTCGAAGCCAATGCTCGGAAGAAAAAAAAGAAAAACAACTAGAATTCCACAGAGGAGTTTCGCTTTTCAACCTGTATGAGCTCATATAAAAGCAGTACAACACCCGCATTGTCCGTATGTGTTGCGAACACCCGGTTTGTCCTTTGGAATCACCCGGTGATGTTTCAGAACTGATTTGTGGTAGGAACTTGGAGTAGCTGGATGGGGATGGGCCATTGGTAGGTACTACGTGCCCCGCAAAAAAGGGGCAACTGAGATACAGTAGCATACAGTAGTTGGGTTGGCGAGGCAACTTTCTCTTGTCCTTGCCGTGAAACCAGCTATTTTGACCTCATATGCGTGCATTGGGCCCGGTTTGGTCGGGCTGAATTAGTTCGTGGACGTCTAGTTTGCTCGGAGGGCACTCTGAACTGTAAAGGCATGGTGGTGTGTGGCACCCATTCGGCCAGCATCCGATTACAGCCTCGCGCAAATAATCTGCTTTCGGGTCAGAACCTCCCACAGGACAAAAAGACAATCTTCTGTCTTTTCGGCGGTTCTCATTCTGCCCTTAGACTTGCTTTGAAGCTATGTCAGGGTTGCTCCGTGTTCTGAAAGTCGTTTGGTCTTTCATACAGGTTGAGCTTTTTACATCTTTTTGGCTGGTTGAGTGATTGCACGTCCGAATTTAACCCACTCAAAGTTCGAGTTTCACTGTTCGCGAAAGATCCAAAAACAGACAGCGCAGGTGGACGCCTCGGCTGTGGGCTTCGGGCACGGAAAGGCTTTGGCCTCGCAGGCCCTGCCGGAGGACCTGCCTTTGACCCACCAATCAGCATCCAAGGGTCGGCCATTTCTGCCTGACGCGCCCTTTGTGTGAGCCATTTTGGCAGAGCAATTGACAACCCTTGGAGGGTGCTGGAACAAGTTTGTTTTTGTTATAAACATGGACTTGAAAACCAAACAAACATGGGGACCCACAAAAATGGTGATAAGTGGTGGTTTGACAAGGGTGTCCCTTGCAAAACTAGAGACAGAGAGGGGTTCCCTCGAAAACGACGCCGGCGGAAACTAACTTAAGAGCGGGCCCGAAAGATAACGTTTCCGGGAGGAAAGGGGAAATCTGGGGCTCCTGGGCACAACCACATGGCCAGTTTTCCAAAGGCACCGGTCCAAAGTTTTTCAGAGAGTTGGCCCGGGCACCATTCAGGAAGGAAGGGTGTGAGGCCCCGGACTTTGCCAAGCGGGCTTTGGGAAAAGGGGCCGTTCGGGTTGCGGGCGAAGTTGAAGTCATATTTTGCCGCACTGCCATAGTCACGATCCCACCTGCCCAGCCGGTTGCTTCCTTTTTTCAACTTTATTTGGAAGGGTTCCCCTTCAAAGTCAACACCACAAAAGGATGCCATTCTTTTCCCATGGCCACTGGGCATTTGAGTGATTATGCGGATTATAGTGGCAAACTATTAGCTGAATTTTCCTCCCCCCTCCCCGCAACTTGTTCTCCGCATCGAGCGACCTGGGGAGGTTTACTACTCAGGGGTCAAGTGTCAATGATTTGGCCTGGGAGCTTCCATGGAACCGCCGGCTGGGTGGGTACCCTGCAGGTTATTTGGTGCACTGGATTTACCCGACCAACCGCGCCCCCGCTTTTCCCAGGCGCGCATCGAGTGCGAGCGCGAGGCCTTGCCTTGGCTGCGCAAGGCGCTGCGACAGAGGCAGCAGATCAAGGAACTCCTCACAGCAGCTTGGCGGGGGAAGCCCCAGGCCTGTGGCAGTTCTTTTTCCTCTTTTTTTTCTCAGTTTTGTGCGTCGTTGTTTTCTTCTTGCAAGGTCCACCGGCAAAGGAAAGGTCCAGGTGTGTTCTTGTTGGGCTCCCCTTCGAAGCCAACCTGCCAAAACAAAGTGCGCTTGTTTGTGCTCCAACGCAGGTTTGGGCTTCTCCCCTGCAAATATTCGTGTGTGTGTGTGTTTTGCCGAGGAAACGTTTGGCTGGCTGGAGGTGAAGCCAGGCGGAGCATTTAGCGACCCAACTACCCAAAGACCATCCCAACCTTTCTTTGCCCCTATGGTCCTCCTCTGCCAGCGAAATCTCCCGCCTGAAGCCACCAACCCCAAGGGGAAATTGAATGAACAGATTGACCCAAAGAGGGCACCTATAGATTACTGCCAGGAGGCTTCACTCTCTGTTTTTTGGTCTTTTGTCTTCTTCGTTTGGGTTCTCCATCTCCAAACTCGCAGGTTTTTCTCTGATCGCAGACCTAAGGAGTCCAACGTGCACGCGGCATGGCTGATGGCATCGATGAAGTTGGCTGCAGCGAAAGCTGCGCGGCAAGCGAGGGCTCACCGCTGGCTGGGGCCAAGATTGTTAAGCCATATTATGGGTGTGTCGCTTTTTGAGGGCACCCCGCTCCCCTCAAAAAAGAACACACCCTAGAGTGTCCAAACCATAGTGGTTTAAACATGTTTCAACAAACCCTTTCCATGAGTCCTAACATCTCAAAAGCAGCCCGCTCTCCCCGAGTTGCGTTTCGGACTCCCGGACCTTGACTTGTGACATATCCTGGCCAATAATTAACGAAGCATATCCCAGCTCATGTCGGGGGGTCCATGTAGTTGGTTATCCTGTGGTTCTCAAGCTTCTGTGGCAAGGGTTGTTTCTTTAATGAATGTTTTCAGAGGGCAAGCAGCTGCAATTGCGAGGAATGGTTTGTCTCAATCTGGTGGGCCCTGAAAAGCAGTTGGGAGTTTGATTGGCTTTCTCTTTGAACCAACCAAACCAGGATCTTGACAAAAGGCGAGCCAACGTGCAGTACATACAATTATACATGTATACATACGTATACTCACGTAGTAAGAGTAAGGGCAAGCTCACCTACTCGGATAAACCAAGCTCACATATGATGAAGACTAGTGACGCAGGGGTTCCCCGATCCGGTTTAGTGAATCACCTAAATTTGCGTGTGTACATATATAGATATATATATACATATACACATACATGTATATGCATATGTTTGTTCACATCCCATGAAGAGAGACCAAAGTACAGGTTGGTTATCCACTTCAACCGGAATATGCATATACGCCTCTAATTGCCTATTGACATATATATATATATACATATATATATATATACATCTGGGCGTGGCTCAAAGTTCAAGAGCTAGGGTTACGCAGGTTTTAGTCTTTGGTTCCATTTACCAAGGCGGCCATTTGGGGAATTCCCTTTATGTTGAGCCACGGCCATTTGCTGGTCACAAGGGTGGGGCCACCCAGTGGTTTAGACATGTTTACAAACCACCGGTTATGATGACTCACTTCCCTTGTAAAGGTGGTTTTTAGACCATATTTTGCCCCACCCAGGCTGCCAGCTGGTCGTGCCGTGGCATCCATGGCCCGTGGTGCTTAGGCCAAAAGCCTTACGAGCTGGGCGCTGCGCCAACTCTTGCGGCCCTTCTTACCGCCGCCGAAAGCGGCTTCACCCTACGTGCAGGCGGGGTGCGGCGGGTCGTGGCTCTGATCATTGGCTTTTCTGGGGTGCGGAAGGGGTCCGGCCGGCGGGCTGTGACGGGGTGGGCACCAACAACCTTTCTGCCGTCATGGCTCTGAATCATTGGGGGATTGGGGGTTTGGGGGTGTCTTGTTTTTTTTTGTTTTAACCTAGGTCAGGCACCCTTTCATTAATGTGTTTTGTTCACGTGTTGTTTCATCATGTGGCAAAGCGGCCGAATGGCCGTTTGGCTCAAGTTTAACCTCCCGTCAGGTTAGTTTTGGTAGCACGGCACTCGCCATAGCACGGCATCTCGCTGCGTCGCCGAGAAAGGACTCTCGGCGCTGGGGTGGGCTGGTGCTAGGAGGTAGGTGGTGCTGCGGCAGGACTTGCCTGGGCCTGGTTAAGGTGATCTTTTGCAACTTGCTGTTTAACCTTCACTTCAACCACCTCTTCTTCAATCATCACGTCCTTCAACCTGGTCACCGGCTTCAGTCCACTGAGTCGTGAGTCCGGGTTCTTTGGGTTCTTCGTGGATTACGTGAACCCTTTTGATTCCCTGGGCAACGCCCTTTCCGCCCAAAACCGCAGGTTATCAGCCGTACCAGCTAGAAGCTGGGGCTGGTGATCCGGTTGCGGGACGTGACCCGCTACCTGCTCCCATCGCCTACTTGTACGAGCAATGGCGTCCCCCGGAGCTTCACATCGTGGGCCGGGCTTCGTGGACGACGAGGCCAACGCCCTTCGCGGCAACGCCGCGCCTGCTGCTCCCGGCTTAGACAGCCGGCTGTGGCCCATTCCCCCGATGGTGGGCGCAGAGCCCAATCCCGGGGTGATCACGGACGATTGGATCCTTTCTCAGGTCGTGTTTGATGAGGATGCGGAGACCCCTATCCCGGCGGCAGTGCTTCAGATCGAGGACGGACCCCCTCTAGAAGAGGCTGAGGTTCCTCCAAATCAGGTGCCCTCATCGATTTCACCTACTGTTCCGTTCGTGGCGCTCCAGATCGAGGACCGGGCTGTCCATCATGCTGCTCATCCGGAGCCGGCTCAATCATGGTCCCTTACATGGGATCAGTTTGACCAGCTCCTCGGCAGTGGATCGCAGGCTACACCGCCTGATTTCGGTCGGCTCGACTTCAACTCGGGTGCCCCCATATCGGTTGGGAATCTGGATTTTCAATCCCTTTTTGATGCTGATTGGAGGTCGCAGCCTTCCCGAATTGACAGATCTTTTGATGCCCTGCCTACACATGAGCCTACTCAGGGTTTTCCTCATGATGGAGAAAATGACCCCATTGAAGATTTCTCCCCCTCTCATGTTGCAGGTTCGGCCCAACCCGAGGTGGGCAAACGGGCGATTGAGGATTGGCCGCAAATAGCTGGCCTTCCTCCCGTCTCAGGTTCATCCGACATTGACATCATTCACGATCACCCCAGTCCGGCGGATATGGACTTTATCCCTGACGCAGTATCATCTCACCTGTCAGGTACCCGCGACCGGAATGCGGACCGCTACAACGCTGGTCCGAATCCACCGCTTTCCTCAGGTACCCGAGGTCGGGATGCGAACCGCTACAACGCGGGCTCAAATCCGGCAAATCGGGCATCAAGTACTAATCGATCGGACGCGGGCCGCGAAACAGCAGGCCCAAATCCTTCCTCCACTTCATCAAGAAGCCATGCCGGTCTATTCGCGGCGTTCAATCGGCGTCAGACTCGAAAAGAGTCCGCCCCCGACGTCATCGACCTCGAAGAGCAGTCCAGCCACCGCACCAGTGATGGATCCGAGCAGGATACACCTGGTATTGGCTCTACTCCCTTCGACCTCCTCGACATCCCTTTCCATCAGCCACCCAGGAGAGGAAATGAAGATGATGAAACCATCCCTGGGATCCTTGATGTAATCGATGAGGCCGAGGTCACACCAGAGAGACGAACGACATCGCTCCCGCCGAGCCGCGTTGCCAAAGTACTTTCCCCTAAGCCACTCATTGGTGACGTTGCTCAACGGCTTGATCTCACTCAACCTGATCCAGATCAAGCTCAACTTCGCGGGTCGTCATCTTTTGATAACATGTCGGGACAAACCGGCACTGACTCACGAGCCACAAAGAGGAGCTCTGAGTCACCCGAGAGACGTGAAGCTGCTTTGCGATTGCGATCTAATCCCCCAGCTCATCACGATCCTATTGACGTTCCTATCCACTCTGCGGGGTCTGGGCTCAGCTCCAATGCCCCGATGTCTGAGAAGGAGACTGATGACGGGATTAACTCTACGCCCAGGAATCGGAGACCTGGACTTAGCACTGTTGCTCCTGGTCATGGAGGGCTTCCTTCAAATCAACCGGTCAACAACTCCCTCGTCCCCGCATTCTTTCAAATTGGAACTCCGGGCTGCACTCCCGACAGGGAAGAAAATAGGCGCGGAGATCATGACGCTGATAGTCGTCCTGCTCCGTCTGCTTCCACAAGTGGCGGCCATCCTGTTGCATCTGAGCTTCAACGACTGCTTCTCGCGATCCACAACGAGGTAAAGGGGTGCAAGGCCGAAATCCAGGGATGCAGAACTGAGATTCGTTCATGTAGGGATGATATCAACGCTTGCGTCGGTGAGATCAAGAAGATCAATAACCGTGTTGACGCCTTCGAGAAGAAGGTTGAATCATCTTTCTCTGCCGTTGCCGGAACTCTCTCAAAACACGAGGCCAAGTTCCGTGATTTCCACGAGTGGGTCGCCCGAAGCGAGAAGGAGATGAATGAGCGTTTCAAGATGTATGATGAGAGGTCTGACTCGATCGTCATATCCGCTGCTGAACTTCGCGAGCAGGCCGAATCACTTGAGAACGTCAAGGTCCAGCTCCTTAGGTTCTCTGAGATCGGGGCCCTTGAGGCTGAGGTTCGGAAAATCAAGGACGAAGTTGAGGCGAACTCTCGCAGTGTCATCGACATTGAGGGAACCATCTCAAGGGAAAGAACCATCCGTGGGAACGTCGAGACGTATATCCAGCAGCTCGTTCCTGCGACCGACCTGAAGCAGTTCAGTGATAGGATGTCCGGAGCTCTCAATGAGAACTCACAGAAACAGGAAGAGTTCAAGCTTCAATTGTCCCGTATTGCTAGATGCGTCAAGGACCTTCATGACAAAAGCTTAGGCCCCAATCCGAGGGACATGCAAGAGCAGTTTATGAAGCTTGTGCTGAGGGTCAATGAGATCAACATGCAGATCGCTGAGTTGAGGGAGCAACCTCTTGCTGCCTGCGGGCCTTCAAGTGCTGGCGCTGCTTCGACCGCCGGAACGGGACCATGGGAGAAATCTGGAGACACTGATCCCTTAACCCAGGGAAGGGCTCCTAGAGATTCTCCCTCTCGTGATGCTCGCACCGTCAGCTCGGCTAGGCCTCCTCCACCTCCACCTCCTTCAGGGCCACCCCCACCGTCACCATCAGCCCCCATCTTCGGCAGGGATCCCTCTAGAACGAGGGCCATTGCTCGGGCTGCCGGCGCTGCCCCTGATAACCGGGCCAGGTGTGATCATGAGGAGCCCGGGCATCCACAGCATCGGGAACCTCGCTATCCATGCCGAAGCTGCGGCAAGTCAGTCTGCGAAGACTGCTTTGACCATGATTGTAACTCGTGTTTCAAGTGCAGCGATCAGTTTCCTAGATGCCGCGCATGCAGAGGAAGAGGGGGGAGACACGGACTTGTGAGGTGTCTCATATGCAAGGACGAGTACTGCGATCAACACATCGCCTCACCTGACGATGTGCGCCGTTTTGGATCGAGTGTTCGACCTATTTGCCTCGGTTGTCTGAGAGCTGACCCCGACGGGAAAACTAAGCATCGCGGTCCCAGTGCGGGGCCTGGAGGACCTGATTGCATTCCTGATCATAATCAGCGGGATGGCACTGCTCCTGATCCTGGATCCGGGCCATCACGTGGAGATCCGTCACATCGGAGTCCTGAACCGCACCAAGGGAATTCTGGTTTCTGTTCCCACGCCGGAGCTGCCGGGCCAATGCCACCAAGGGCAATGTCTTCGCCCGTAGTCGGACGAGCAGTTCCGAGGGGGACCATCAACACGTACCCCGGATGTTCCCCTACAGGGGGGATTTTCACCGGTCAGGTTGAGCATGGAACGTCTCAGGGAGTCATTCGCGGGAGATACGGACCTGACGCTGCTGTGACAAATCAGCAGAATCCACAGCCTCACCACGGAGCACAGGATAACTCTGGCGGGCCAACTGGTTTTTCTCTTCCACCAGGACTCGGTAAGGGTGTGCATGGCGTTGGTGGCGTCGGCGGTATTGGAGCTCCCGATATTCGCCGATCTTCCGCTGAGGAGAGAGTCTGCCCTCGGTGCAACATAAATGTCAAGACCAGCATCCCCGGGACACCTCCATGTTTCCAAACTTGTTCATTGTGCCGCACTTCTCTATGCGCCGCGTGCTGCCCGCCATCGTCCGGGAGTTGCTCTCTGTGTGCCATATCCATTGGCAGAGACGGCGTTTTACCTCCCCATGTTTTTGGGCAGGCTACTCGACCGCCCTTAACTTCGTTGCCATCTGAGGCGAACAAGTGCGCCAACATAGAGCTCGAAAAAGAGCCCGCACCGCATGAGTTGCGAGACTGGATCATTTCCACGAGAGAAATCGTGAGCAACGCATTCAGCTATGACTCGCCATATGCCATGTCTTGGGTCATGAGTGTCGAGAACGCCAGCACAATAGAGGAACTTGATGGGGAGTGCCTCTACCCGATCCTTGACAATAAGTTCAATGCTGCACTGAGAAAGTGCATCACATCGAAACCTATTGTTGCCAAGATCAGCAGGCTGACTGAAGAGGCTCAGGTGAAAAGGGGGACGAGGCTGAAAAGCCGCCAGATCCTGTTCTGTCTCATTGAATACCTTCGTCCCGATGAAGTCGGGAGCCAGTCTATCCGTACGAATGAACTTCTTCGCCTATCCCTCGGCAGAGCTGCCGGGTCTGGCGAGCCTCAGCTTGAGAAATTCCTTGATAAATGGGAAG